AATCTTTGTGCACGTATTAAAGTGAGCAGTAAGAGCCAGTTGCAGTGTTGCATAAGCCCCACACTCAAGGCTGTATCCTCTTCCCTCACTGAGGCACTGCAAGTCAGGTGGAATTATCCTGTGGATGGAAAGGCCTCCCTGACTGGTAGAGATTCCTAGAAAGATGCATTTCCAAAGCTCACCACCCTCCAAGACTCCAGGTGACACGTGGCCAACCAACCACCCGCAGAGTAAAAAAGGGAGGGATTTTCAGGAGTCCCCACCAGAGCCACCGAGCAGACCCCACAAAGGGAACTCCTCGAGTGCCAACAGCCCATCAGGCTCAGTGCCACGAGGAGGAACTTGGATTTTTCCTTGGAAAGGAAACACTCAAAACCAATACCAGTCCTAGCAAAGCTTGCGCTTAATTCAGCACCACCTTCTTCCCGTTTAATGGCAAAGCTTTGGATGTTCCGAAGGTTCCAAACACTTAACTGAGCTTCCACCCAGATTTCAACAATCAGTCACTTCAGCTGGGGTTTTTCCAAAGGGTCACAAGTGTTCTGCAGTGTCCACATGAGCTGTACTTGTTCCTCTCCCCACCTTGAGAACACACAGCCACCACCTCAGCACGAAACCAAAGAGCACCTTCTGTCAGGGAATTCTTAACCTGGAGTTCAGCCCTGTGCAAACAGCATCCACATGGACCAAAAATTCCTGATGATCCAAGAGGAAGCAGTACATGGGGAAGCCTGCACTTAAAACAAGGGCAAAGAGATGAGCTATGATTTGTGAAGCTTCTTTTAAGCCCCTTTCTGAGCAGCAGCAGCAGCCAAAAAGCAGGGCAGGAAGGGGCCGGGTGACTCTGAATGGGATTGCACAACGGAGCACCTGCTGAAATGGGGGGGGGTGTGGGAAAAAATTCAGCTGTCAAACACCACCAGCCCCACGTTCTACAGCAGCACAGCAAAGGGTTTGGGGTTTCTTTGGGTTGTGAGCAACAGTAAATGACCCAGCTCACGTGCAACCCCGGAAGAGAAAAAACGCACGGACGCACCTCCAGCAACCACCACCTGGACAATTCCAGACATCCCTCTCCTGGCTAAGAGCAGAAAGAGCCCTTCTCCTGGGATCAAACACATCCTACAGCCAGCAGGGAACTGCAACTCCGAAGGAGTCCCCAGCCAGCAGGACCATTGTACTGCTGTCTGTGCAAACTGACTTCTTACATGAATTCCCAGCACTAACCTTCCTGTCCAAAACCCAAGATCATCCCGGGCTCCAGAAAGCAAAACGAGCTCCAAACACTGCTAAGTAACGTGGTTTACTCCAGAACAAAGAAATACTTTTCCACCAATAAAACGTGTTGCCAGTTGGTCTCTTCTAGTTTCTTCTAAACCCTCACGAAAAACTTGTTACAAAACCTCTGACAAACTTCAATTTCAAAATGAAACCAAGTCCCTTTCACGAACGGCGTTTCCAAGCCGGGCTCTATTTTTAAACACGGTATGTACCTCATGCCACTAATTCATTTTTTTTTTCCCCTGGAAGCTGAGCCATTTTGAGTCAAGTCCCATAATTTAAAACTTCATTAAAAATGCAGAGAGCTTTAGGACTGCAAGCAGCAGAAAGCGGGAGGAGGTCGTCAGAAGCTCCCTCTCACAATCTGAGCGCTCTCTGCCTTTCATCGCACGAGACAAATGACGTGTGAGACGTGTAAACTGCACCCAGCATCTCATCTTTACTGGATATTGCTGCAGTTTGTACCACTATGTAGGTCACGAGCTGCACATGCTTCAGTCAAGCCCTGAGCTCAGCCTAGTTGGCCATTTTCACCCCTGACAGAGGGCCTGGAAACACGAGACAGTTTAACCAAAGCCAGAAGCAGCTCCACCGCTTTTTTCCAGCCTCAAATAGTTGAGCCACTTGCTAAACTCAGTAAAGCTCTGAAGACACAAGCAACCCAGGCACCGTTTCCTGAAGTGGACATGAACCAAGCTGCACAACTTCAGAAATACCAAACATTACAGTGCCTCAGAAAACAGACTGGTGGCTGCAGCATCAAGAAATGTCACCATGGCAGAAGAAAGCCGCTAATCCCAACTTTCCTTCTCTCCCATCTGCACAAAAAGGCATCCAGTATTACAGAAAGCAACTGCAAACCCAAACAAACTCGGAATAAACAGCTGAAATAAAGTATTAAAAAGCTTATTTAATGTCCCCACCTTCAAAACCTTTCTTCTTCTAAATTCAAAGTGGTTTTTTTTCCAAGAGGTGCATTAAAAAAGACTGTTCACGGAGAACATCTGATTAGATGAAAAGTAATGTCAGTGTGGATTTTAAGGACACACAGGACTATTCTCAGACTGTGCACTGATTCTGAGGAGGTGCTCTTTCCCTTTGCTGAAATCCTACATTATCCACACAAGAGGAATTCTTAACCAACTCCTCAGGAACTGAGAGTCCCAAGCACAACATCCTGGACTGTACCTGCACCAGCATCAGTTTTAAAAGGATCTGACACAGCCCAACTGAGGAAAAGAGGTCCTCAGAGGGAATTCTGGCACTCCAGCACCTGACCCAGCCTGGCTTTGGCACTCAGGTGTTCCTCCAAGGCCTGGGAGAATCAGCCACGACCAAAATGCAAAGACCACAAATCTCTGTCCACCTGGACCACCAAGACACGGACCCTCCCTCAAAGACGGGTGGAAGGAAAGGGCAGGTCACAGAAGACAGGCTGGAGATCAGGCACCTCACCTGGATTCACCATCATTCCTTTGATTTCCACCTCCCAAAGCCCAGGTAATCATTGACCAGCTACTGAGGGGTTTGGAGCAACCACCACTGAACTCCTCACACAGAAATATTTACTGCAGGGGGAATTCAGGCCTCCACTTCCCACATCCCAGGTAAATGCCAAAATCCCTGGGCTCTTCCTTCCCTTTTTCACTCCCTGAACTCACCATAATCTGCACCACCTGGTCCTCCTGCCATGCCTTGATGAACACCTCGCTTGGCCTTCAAGTTTCCTCTTCCCTGCCCTAATATCACATGGTTGGAGATTTAACTCCCTGCCTACAGGTGTAAGGAACAAACAGGTTATTTTCCAGCTGTCAGGTATGGTGAGAAACAATCCCACCCTGCACAAAGCCATCAAAAAATTCACCTTCCACTTGTGCTGCAACATCAGCCTCCAAGCAAAGCCATGGCACTGTAAAGGCACAAGTCTTCATTCATTAATTATCTGCTCAAAATGTGCAGCTATAAAAATAAGGATTGAGTATAAGCTTATTCCTAAAATATTTTTGGAAAAAACCCCCCACCTTTTCTACACTTTTCATTGCAGAACTGCAGCCAGCTGCTCCTTTTAGAAAAGCCAGCCTAAGCCCACTCTAGTGGCCTGTTTATAACACAGAATTCTAAGAATAAAATTAATGAGACAAGGAGAAAAAAAAAAAAGTAAGAAAATAAGCAATAAGTTCCATTTGACACATCATTAGCAGCCTTGAGCAGGAATATCAGGGTTCTACATTCACCAGTTCTCTTGCTGGGAGCATATGACTAGTTAAAAAGATCAGCTTGGGCCAAGAAAATCTCTCCCTACCACTGGCATATCTGGGCAAAGATACCTGAAATACCAAACTCTTGCACTGTGAAGCCAGAAGCTCTTGGTTTTGCCACCACTTCACTCTTTTCATAACCCCAGTGGCCAAGTGAAAATACTTTCAGGCCTAAAATTACATTTATCGCAGACAGAGTGCAGGAATTATGCACCAGAGCTGCTGCTTTTTAACCCAGAGCTCAGCAACCACTTGCTTAAGTCCAGAACCTTTCAGGCTGTTTTAAAGCCACTAAAATTTTAGGCCAAGGCTCAGTGGAACAGCAAGAGCTCTGTGCTGGTTCCAGCTGTTATCAGCTTTGATCCTGCCCAAGAACTGGATTTATTTGGAGAACTTGCTCGGACATGAGCGCAATTACTCCAAAACCCAGTAAGTTTCCCCCTGCTCCTGCTGCAGAACAGAAAGATCTCTCTACAGGGCTAAGTCTGGCCCTGAACACTACTGTCAATATTCATTTTTCCAACTTCTAAGCGAGGTTCTTGCTCCAAAATCCCTCCCACCCAGCACTGATCTTTCTCCGAGGAGCAAGACCACGGCCACAGCAGAGCCCCCCTCACACCATTAACCCTGCAAGGCATTCCAAGCCAAACATCTGCCTGCCGCCCCGCTCCAGCACATCTGCTCCAAAGGCCACCAAAACTACACCCCGGGTTTTGCCTCATTAGCCGTAATTGCTCGCTAATTACTTATTCCAGAGTAAAGTATTCTATACAATCCTCCTCGACGAGCCCCGATGCACCGTGTCTCTGACACATCCACCAGGAAAAAAAACCCGTGGTTTTTTTTTTTAATCTGGCAGCAGCGATTGCCACCTCTTGCCGTGGGGAGCCTCGCAGCATCCTAAGGAACAGCGACGGGATGGAAATCAGGGCAGAGGACACAGCCTTCCACTCAAGCAACCCGAGGAAAGCCACAGGCCTGCCACGGTTATACTCGCAATCCGAGCCGCTAAATTAAAAATAATAATAATAAAAAATAAAAAAATAAATAAAAGCGCTGCGGACCCGAGTCACGGCGGGACGGGCACGTTCGCTGCGCCCAGAGCCCAAAAAGCCAGCCCGGGCCGAGACAAGCGGCCGCGGGGCCGGGTGGGGGCTGAGAGGGGCACGGCCCCCGGGCGGCTCGGAGCGCCGGCGTTAATCCCGGAGCTCCGTTAATCTGCCGGGCCCGGACAAAAGGCGGCCGAGGCGGCGGCGGGGGAGGGCGGCGGCGGCGGCGGCGGAGGCCCGGGCGAGCCCCGGCGGAGCGGCCGCGGGGCAGCGCGTTAGGTAACGCCGCGCCGGGGTCTGATGCAATCGCCGGGGACGTGCGGGGGGAAAAAAAAAAAAAAAAAAAGAAGGGGGGAAAGGGGGGGGGGGGGGGGGGGGGGGGGGGGGGGAGAGACAGAGAGGAAGAGGATACAGGTCAGGTCCAGGTCGAAGCCATCCTCCTGGTATCGCCTTTTGTTCCTGCTGACGATCTCTTTGATGATGGCGGTCATGTCTGGCAGCCGGGGGCCGCTCCGGGGCAGCGCGCAGGGCCCGGGCGGCGGCCGAGAGGCACCACCGGGCGGCCCCGGGCGCGGATGCTCCGCCGGCTCAGCCCCGGGCGGGCCCGGCTCCTGCCGGCGGCGGCACCGGCCGCTGCTGCTGCTACTGCTGCCGCCGCTGCTGCTGCTGCTGCTGCTGCTGTTGCTGCTCCCTCCTCCTCCTCCTCCTTCTCCTCCTCCTCCCCCGAGCGCGTCGGGAGCCGCGCCGAGCCCCTGCGGGCGGTGCCGCCGCCGCCGCCGTGTTTGGGGCGAGCGCGGCGGCGGCGGGGGGAGCAGCTCTGCGGCGCTCCGGGCCCCGGCAATGGTGACAGCGGGCGCGGGGCGCGCCCCCCACCCCTCACTCCCCACCACCGGAGCCGGCTCCCCGTTTCCCTACCCCCCCACCCCACCCCCCCACCCCCCCGCCCCCCCCCGCCCCGGGGGCCGGCCGGGCCGCTCGGCGGGGGTGCTTTTTTTTTTTTGTTTCTTCCGTTCCTTTCCTCCCCCTTCCTCCCCGGGCAGCGGCGGCGGCGGCGGCGGCAGCGGCTCCCTCAGGGCGGCGCGGCCGCGCTCATCCCCCGGCCCGCAGCGCTCGCCGGCGCGGGGCTCCCATCATGGCCGCGGCTTCCGAGAGGGACGGCGGGCGGCGCCGCCACGCCCACCGCGCCACATCCGCCGAGAGGGAAAAGTAGTCCCCCCTCCGGGGGTCCGCCACCGGGGGAGCGGAGAGCGGGGCGGGTAAGAGGGGGGAGAGGCTCGCTGCGAGCGCGCCGCCCGTACCCCTCAGCCCGCCGGCCCCCCCCTCGCTCCCTCCGGGAGCGAGGGGGGGGCCGGCGGGCGGAGGGGTACGGGCGGTGAGATGAGGCTCGGTGGGTGCGCTGCGGACCGGCGGGTCACGTGGGCGCTGGCGGCGGCGCCTCCCCCGCGGGCGGAAGTGGCCGTGAGGGGACGGGGCGGCCACGGAGCCCCCTCAGAGCCCCCTGAGCCATCTCAGAGCAGCCCCCGAGCACACTCGGGGCGCCCCGAAACCCTTCCGAGCTCCCCACCACCCCCCCGAGCTGGCCTTCCGCGCCCCCCGCCGCCCCCCAGCCAGGCCCGCCCCGCCGAGCAGAGGGGAAGAGCGGTTTCGGTGCGGCCCCGGTGAGGGGTGGGGGGGGTTGAGCCCGGCGGGTTGAGGGGGCTGGGTGTCCTCCGCTGGGTTTGGCGAGGAGCGGGGCGGCCGCGGTGAGCGAGCGCCGATCGCCCCCTGCAGCCACCGGGCACGGAGGGAGGGAGGGAGGGAGAGAGGGGGTTTGGGGCCACCTGCTGCCCTCGGAGTCACAGGATCGTTGAGGTGGGAAAAGCCCTCCCGGCCCATGGAGTCCCCCCTGTGCCCGATGCCCACCTTGGCCCCCAGCCCAGAGCACTGAGTGGGGGCCAGGCCTTCCTGGGACACCTCCAGGGATGGGCACTCCAAACCTCCCTGGGCAGCCCCTGCCAATACCTGACAACCTTTTCCAGCAAGGAATTCCTCCTCCTGTCCTCGAGACAATCCAATCATGGGCACGGGGACGTGACAGTCCCCCCGGGTCGTGCCGGCTGGCTCAGCCCTCCTGGCTGTGCTGCTTCCATGGAGTTTTCTGTCCCACCCCATTCCCACATGGATGACAATTATCCTGGCAGGGGGAAAGCACTGTCTATAAATCTCTAAATCAGCCTTTAAACCCCTTTTAACCCCAGCCTACAAGGTTCTTCACAGTCTAAGCTGAGAACTCCTGCAAGTCTTTGGGAATTACCCGTGTTAATGTTCTGCAGGAAAACGACCATCAGGAAGGCTGGTGCAGCCTGAGCTGCTGGATATCAACACTGGCTGCACTCTGGGACCAGTTTCCATCTTTCTCACTGTTTGGTAGGGCTTTTTTTTGGGGATCTTTCGTGTGATTTTTTTTCCTCTGCTGTGCAGAGAGGCGAGATATTGGGTTCCTGAGGTAATAAAAACTAAAATCTGAAGGCAGTTTGGGATGTAGGACCTCTGCAAAGCATCAGGAATGGGATCTGTTGGAGATCAGCATCTGCCCCAGCTGCTGAGGGATCAGGAGGAAGCTTGGCACGTGATACACGTTTGGGAAAATGGGATTGCAGGGACAATCCATGTGTAAATTTGCCTCCCTCAAAACCAGTCTTCATGTCATTCCATTGCTGGGCAGTAGCATGAGGGATATCCCATGGAAGCCAAGGATAACACACCTTGGAAGGAAATCTTTAAAGGGTGTTTGGTTGTTTTATAAAAAAATCTGCGAAGAAAAAAAAAACCAAGAGGAAAATTGAACCACTTTTTGTACAACCAGAAAAGAGACAGCATGGAAAGGAGTGTCCTGAGGGGACAAGGAGAATCCATGTACCCCTTTGTCCATGAAAAGCAGATGATGTAAACCAGATATCTCCAAAAAACCAGATCTATAAGTCCACCTCGAATGTTTTTTGGGCTGGCAGGGAAAGGCATCTCACTGAAGACACTTTGTATCTAAATAATGAATTAATAAATAAATAGTTACTTCAGTGACTTGCTCAATCTTTAAACACTTTTAAGAGGTGCTGGGGTCTGGCAGCAGATGCTGGAGCAGGAAAAAAACAGGGAGAAGGGGGGAAAAAAGCTTAGCTTTTCCTTTAAGGGCTCAAAATAAACTGGAACATAAGGTGGAGGGATTTCCTGGGCTGCTGCAGCCTCCAGCCTTTTGCAAACGCTGTATTATATAATTCCTTTCATAAACGTATCAAGTTGCATCTTAAGATCTTTTGCCACCATTATTCCCAGTGGGAAGCCGTTCCCAGAACCTTCTGCTGGTTTTCAGGCTAAATATATTTGGGACCTGGTCAGTCTCCATTTATTCCTGTGCCAGCACTGGCCTTAAATAGCTCCTGCTCTGTGGCACGTTGTGCTCCCACGGGCACACACACCCATCCCCTTGGCTGTGGGCAGCTCTGCCCAGCTCCCCTCCACTTCCAGGCTCCCCCTTCCAGTGGCTGCATCCCAGGGCCTCCATCTTACCTTCTCCCAGGAGTTTTCCAGCTACAGTCTCGTGGGCTCCAACCAACTCAGCCGCGCGTTTCACTGGAAAACCCCAAAATGTTTGGGGTTTTTTTTTTTTTCCCCACGGCTCCAAACCCGATAAAACTGTGGCTGCCCCGTCCCTGGGAGTGTTCCAGGACAGGTTGGAGCAACCTGGGCTAGTGGAAGGTGGCCCTGTGGAATGGGATGGGCTTTGAGGCCCCTTCCAGTGCCTGAGCAGCCTTTCCAGGAAGAAATTCCTCCTGCTGCCCAACCTGCCCCTGCCCTGGCACAGTTTCCTCTTGCCCTGTCCCCTGTTCCCTGTAAAACACGGACACAAGAGCAGGGGGGTTGAAGGGGAATTGCCAAAACTTTGGGTTAATTACAGGAATGACAGAGATCCTGTGATTTTAACCTTTTCCTGGACGTTCTTCTGTTACTATGTATATATATACAGTAAAATTATTCATATATATATGTTACTTATATAACATATATATATATGAAATATATATACTGTATATATAACATATATACTGTATATATAACATATATACTGTATACATAACATATATATGTTATGTCAATATATTATACATATATATGCATAGTATGTATGTGTATATAATATATACTAATATATAATATATACTAATATATAATATATA